TTTTTAATATAATTATGCCCTTTATTATTAAAAAAAAATGTAAATTTAGCATTTTGTCCTTACTTTACTTGTCAAGTTGAGTCAAAGTTTGAATTTTCGTGTTGATTAAAGAATACAGGATGGATTATGTCAAATGGACTCCAAGTGCCGTTAAATTGAAAAGTTTGGGACCGTAGTCGCAAAAATAAAACATTAAGGTGCATTATGCAACAAATTGAAAGATTTGGGTCCTTCATTTCAATTTTCCCTAAATTCGAAGAAGATAAACGTGCCAGTAATGATTCTCCTCTAAACGCTTGTTTGATACAGAAATTTTCCAAATGAAAAATGAAATTTTGGATATTGTGATTGAAAAATAAGAAAAATTGTGTATGCATAATATATTAAATATCACATTAAGTGATTATTAATTTTTTGACGATTTTAATACTACTACAATTCAATTATTTCAATAATATTTTACTATTCGTTTCCTAATTTGTAATGAATACTACAAAATTCTTGTCATGTATGAATTTTGTGTTATTAATTAACATTCACATTAATCTAGACACAATGAATTTTGATCTATATGAATTTAGATCTAAATGAATTTATTTATATTCATGTATCTAGAAATTTTAATGGATGTTTAAATTCATTTATTAACATTTAATTCTTATGTACCAATGTAGTATATAAAAAGGTTGCTTATTTCATCATCACAAAAAATTTGAATAATAAAGTTGAGTTTCGAGAGTTCAATTTTCTTTTTTAAATTTTTTATCATAAATTTTATTTTCTTTAGTTTGTTTGAGGCTCATCAAATACTCTCAATAAATTGGTGTCAAATATTACTTTTACAATATTTATAAAGTATTTTAAAATAACGTGCAATACACATTCAACTTTGACTAGTTATCATGAAATATGTGATTAAAGATAATTTTGAAGAAAAAAATTTGTGTCCAACAAAACACGAATCTCATTCTCTCTCTCGAGAGTCAATTGTCAAAACTTCTTACTTTTATTGAACTACGAGACTTCTCTTTTCCCTTTCAGCTAGTCGAAGAGTTCAGTTCAGTCGAAAGCGGGTAGCCATTAAGGAAAACCTACTCTATAGTTCTAGTATTTTTGCTTAATGGAGTAAAAAGAGATTATACCACACTGCTTCGAGATTAGAAGGAAAGTCAGACAGGTTCGTAGTTAGGGCTAGGCATAGTCCGGTCTAATCTGATTCGATTCTAAAGATAATCGAACCAAACCTAAATTTTCGGGTATTTAGTAAATGGAACCGTCGAGTCTAAATTTAATAATGGAACCATTCGGATTCGGTTCCATTTGATTCAGTTCTATTCGGTTTAGTTCTATTCAGTTCCGGGGTTCCGTATAATAATTAATTTTGTTTTATATTACAACAACGCTACATTAATTTGACTATGACATATTTAATCTTAATTCTTACAAAATAATGTAGTCCAATTTCATAATATCTTTTGTACCTCTCTTTGTTGAGCTCTTTATAGATTTGACTATTAAAATTGTGGGAAGAGAAAGTTCACAATAATAGAACGATAGAAACGACACTACAGTAGAATAAGAAATTTGGGTAAATTTATGTCAATTTGATGTTGGGCTTGGATGGAAATTAGAAATAGTAAAATCATATTTTGGGTTTAGACTAAATTAATTAACTAGCAAATTTATTTAAAAAATAATAATTTGACTTATTTAAGATAAAAAATTTTAAAAATTAGGAAGATTCGGTTCTTATTCGATTCTTGATCTAGAACCGAGAATCAAACCAAACTCATCGGTTCTCGATTCAGATACCCGTTCGGGTATTTAATTTAAGAAGAATCGCTCGATTCGATTCGATTCAGGAGTTTTGTCCAACCCTATTCGTAGTACCTCAACCTAAGTGATTTTAATCTAAATTAAAGTCAAACAATCAATATTAACAACATATTTTATGAGTTCCACATCTTTTCAACCACACATTTCAAAAACTTCTATCACAATTCATTAAAAATCAAAGTTTTGTCCACTAAGAAGAATCGCTCGATTCGATTCGATTTGGGAGTTTTGTCCAACCTTATTCGTAGTACCTCCACCTAAGTGATTTAATCTAAATCAAAGTCAAACAATCAATATTAACAACATATTTTATGAGTTCCACATCTTTTCAACCACACATTTCAAAAACTTCTATCACAATTAACTAAAAATCTAATTTTAATCCTTACCAAACACCCTCTAAGTATCGAGAACTTGCTCCAACTTAATTTAGGGCATCCGTGGTTTGAGTGGACAAGAACATCAAACAGGAAAAGTAATGTTGACGGAACACCATTAGTTTATGGTCTATCATTAATTCAAATATTAAGTCAAAATTATTTTCAACAAATAAACAAATTCTCCTATAAACCAACTTGTTTGTGCCTTAATATGATGCCATCGATTCTTAGGTTCTCTATGAAACACAACCAAATGGAATCATCCTCGTTTTAGCGATGACCTTACTATGTTTTGCAAAAAAAATAAAAATAAAAATTAACACGATTTCTATTTAATTTGGCTAAAAAGTTGATTAAAAATTAAATTTTAATCACATATTTATGGGATTCGTAATTTTTAATTATACATATCATCAAATTTTATTAAAATTTAAAAAAAAAATTATTTTTTATCTAAATTAAACATGGCATCATAATAACAACAAAAATAAAAATAATTGAGTACTTCAAAAGACCATCTCTTGTGATGGACTCGCAATCCACATGATCCAAATTCACTCTCTAGTGATCATTTGTACGTGTCTTCCACGCTGTTACCATGCGATTTGGGTATTTTTAGGTTGGCCCTTTAGAAGAGTGAAAAGCCAAACATCATTTTTTCAAAGCGGTCCATTAAATGTCACACCTAATGTTACGCGGTACTGTCTGAGCGAGTGAAGCTCACGCTTTTGGAGAAGATTCTGTTGGAATTTCAACTTTTATCACGATTCTTTAAGACCCCTATGAGTATATTCCACTCCGAGGAGAGAGAGAGAGTTAAGAGAAATTTTAATTTCACCCCTCCAGAAGTTTTAATGTGTTCAGTTTCATCCTTTGTATTTTCCTAATTTTTTGGCCAACTCCCAACATACTTATTTAATTACATTTATAATTTCAACTAGTTATCAAATATAAATGTACAATTTCATAATTTTATCAATTTCTTTAGTATGCGGTAATGTTTTAAAAATCGATCTGAACATCTATTTAAAAAAGAGAGAGAGTCAAAAAAATAAAAGATGCTGAATTGAATGCTTTATGTCATTGCACCGTCTGAATTTGAAGGGGAACTAACTAATTCAGTGATCGTTTAAGTGGTTTTTAAAAAAATTATTTTTTACCTTGTGAAGATTCGAATCAATTCTTAAATTTCAATCGAACTAATTGATCTAGTCCAATTTTTACAACGTTGATATTTAGAGGTTTATCACTCATAATGAATGCATTTTTATCAAATTATGTAATTAAAATAGGGAAATTTACGGTTAAATAGGGAAATTTACGGTTAGTTTAACTGTTAGTTGACCTTTGGTCAACTAATGGTTAAACTAACTGCAAATGGATAAAAACTGTTAGTTTAACCGTTAGTTGACCAAATGTTAACCAATTTTAAAAGGGTGAAACGTAACTTTATATTTTACATATAAAAAAACTAAAACAAGAGAATTAAGAAGAAGAAGAAGAAAATATTGTTCATCTTCTTCTTACACCCCAGCCACCCAAAAACCAAAAATCACCTAAACCGTCAAAACCCCATCCACCAAGCGTCCCCACTACCAAGAGATTTAATCCAAATCATTCACATTTACCCAACAAGTTCTAACGAGAATTTTGCAATTTTCTGCTTTTGCCCTCTTTAGCCATTCTTCTGCTCTGCTAATCAAATAAATAACATAATAAATAAATAAATTAGAGCTTTATTACTTCAAGAAAAAAATGTGCATTGAGGTAGGGAAAACAACAACTACAAATGCTGAAGGAGATTGTGGTGGCTAGAGGAGGTGGCAGAAGGAGATGAGGGAGTAGGAGAGTGACGATTGATGAGAGTAAAACGACGAAATTCTGATGGGAAATTGGATGGTTGTATTCGGGGGTTTTGGTGAGAAGTTGACGGTGCCACATGATGGATGAGTAGAGTTGTGTTCAATTGCAGGAATTTGTGATTTTGGTGGTTTTTGATTTTTGGTTTCGGTGTGAGCGTGGGGGTGGGAATAAGATGAACGATATTTTCATTTTATTTTATTTTTTGATTTAATTCTTTAATTTTCGTTTTTTTCTTATGAAAAATGTAAAGTTACATTTTTGCCCTTTAAAAATTAGTCAACATTTGGTCAGACTTTTAATTTTTTGTCAACTAACGATCAAACTAATAGTTTTTATCCATTGGACTCCAAATGCGATTTTTTGAAAGGTTTGGTGCCGTGAGTACTGCAAATTAAAGGTTTGTGTCAAATTTACCTAAAAGCAAAATATTTGATACCGCAACTGCAATTTTCCCATTAAAATATTTCTTTGCAATGGCATGTCTACTTTTATTCTCTAAAATTTATGTTAACCTAAAATTATTTCAACAAATGAGGTTCACTTGAAGAATTGTTTTTCTATTTTTTACCATCGATTGATCATTTACTTTTTTCAGGTTGATGCTCAGTCCAATTTTATAAAAGTAGTCGCCTAAAAAAAAATAAAAATGGGCACAATTGAATGAAACATAAAACCACGAGGGCCTAAAAAAACGTCATTATTTTTGTGATTGAGAGAGAGAAAAGACGAGTCTTGATCTTATCTNCCCGCATCTTCTCTCACTAGAAATCAATATATACATATACACAGTAGTTGGATGGTTTTTTGTGAACCAAGTTTATTCCGTTTGATGATTCTATTTAGATCCCTTTATTCTCATTTTTCATTCGGATCCCTCTATGTTCTTGTTCGTTTTGAAAGAAGAGTTTAAGGCATAGAAAAATGATGATCAATAGCCTTAATCACAGTGATTATTCAGATAAAATGCAGAGATGTCAAGATTATATCCATGCTTTAGAAGAAGAACATAAAAAGATTCAAGTTTTTCGACGCGAACTTCCTCTTTGTCTTGAGCTTGTCACTGAAGGTAAGTATAAAGTCTCGTCTCACTAGATCAAATTTTTTACTCCGTCCCGGTTTAAAGATGTGATTTTGTTATTTGCAGCAATTGATGCATGCAAGAAACAATTATCTGATGGGCAATCTGAGAATTCTGAGCAGATATCAAGTGAAGGGCCAATCTTGGAGGAGTTTATTGCTATAAAGAAAGTTTCATCCAGTTCTGATGATGATGAACAATCCAAGAAGCCAAGTGAAAAAAATAGCAAGAATAATAACGAGAAATCTTCCAAGAAATCAGATTGGCTCAGATCTGTTGGGCTATGGAATCAAACCCCAGATCCAACCTCGGAAGAGGTAATATTTATTTATGATATTTTTGGGGTTTTGTGATTTTTATAAAGATATGATTTTTCTAATCTTATTCGTATTTTGGTTTGTAGGATTTACCCAAAAAGGAAAGTTCTGGTGCATTTCATCCATTCAAGAGACAAGATAAAAGTGCAGGTACTGGAAGTGCTACTGCACAAGGGGTAATGACTAGGTCAGTGCCGGCAGCGGCGGTGGCGAAGAAAGGTGCTGGTGGAAGTAAGAAAGAAGGACAATCTGAAAGAAAGTCAAGGAGAACATGGTCAGCTGAGCTGCATAAAAGATTTTTGCAAGCCCTTGAACAACTTGGTGGTTCACATGGTATGAACTTGATTTTGTTAGGGATATCTTTAATTTTTTATTCAATTTTTGTTGCTTGTTACTTGATATTTGATTTGAATTAATGTTTCATATAATTGGATTTATGCAGTAGCTACACCAAAACAAATTAGGGAGTTCATGAAGGTTGATGGACTCACCAATGATGAAGTTAAAAGTCATTTACAGGTTTGTACTGTTCTTGAATATTGAATTTTCTTTCTTTCAATTTTTTTTTTAATTACAATTTTAAGTATATTTCAATTTTGTGAACTGGGATGTATATTTCAATCTTAACTCGAATAAATTCATATGGGCTTAAAACAAGTTTGATAATCTTACAAAGAGTATACTTATCTTTTTTGACAAGTATAGATTTATGGTTACAAGGGTAAGATTTTGTACTTAAAAATAAAAAACCTCGAAAATCGAGCAAAATTACTTTTAAATAACTTTCTTAGCCAAATTCTCGCTCCATTTCTTTAATCACCTGAATTTTCATGTCATAAATTTGCAGAAATATCGGTTACATACAAGAAGATCACCAAGCCACTCTAACAATAATCAGCAATCACCTCAATTTGTTGTGGTGGGAGGAATATGGGTTCCACCATCGGAATATGCTGCAATGGCTACAACCACCGCGTCTGGGGAGGCATCTGCTGTTTCTGCCACGTCTAATAGAATCTACGCACCAATTGCTACACTACCATCACCCTTCCCGGGAACATCAACGTCCCCTAAACAAAGGCATCAACATAAACAAGTTCGTTATAATGACTTAGGCAGCCATAGAGAGGGCGGAGATATCCACTCTCATTCCCCGATTGCCTCATCCTCCGTTGACACCACCAATACCTCGTCGACTCACTGATTTTCCTGTAAAATATGTAATTTTTGTAATGACTACCGTTATAGTCTTGAAGTACTATAGAGGGGAAAAAAAGAGAGAGAGAGTCGATTTTGATCCCTTTTCTTTGTTATTTTTCAACAATATTCCAGTGTTTATTTCGATGTTACATATCGGAGGCATGGACATAATAGCAACAGTCAAATAAGATTTTCAGACTAAGGATTGATTCTATAAATCAATTACAAGTTTGATTGAAGCTTAATTATTATTCATAATGCTGTGTCAACGGTAAATATTTGATTGACTTTACTTAGCATCACAATAAGTTAAAATGGAGTTATAATTGTTATCTCTGGCCACATAACCTTGCTAATGTTTAGTTGGATGCCAACATTGACAATCATGATGATTCAAGGGACTTAAAAGTAGGGATGTCAATTTGGTTCGAAAGTCCGTGGCTCTATCTGGGAAAAGCCCAAGCTGACCCGATTCACGGCTCAGGCTGAGCTCCTTTTTGGACGTCAATGGTACAACGAAGGATGTGGAAAACAAGATGGAAATTCTCTACAATGACACTGTAGAACAATTCCATGGCCTGATCTTGAGCCCGTGACAAGTCGAGCCTTAATAATAATAATAATAATAATCAAACCAGTGTAGACAACAATAGCCCATGTTAATACAAGCAGCGTGTAGCTCTCTGTGTTAAATCACATCAATTTCAAATTTCAAATTTGAATTTTAAATTTAAATTTTGTTAAAACGATTTTTTTTTTGCTATAAATATGAGGTAAAATTTTAAGTTTCATATCAATTTTTTTCAATTAGTTTTAACTAGCGGTATTCGAATTTTCAATCTCCAAAATCTTTGCTCTAATATTCAATTTATTTTACTCTAATATTCAATATTTTTTGCTATAATAATCACATATGAATTTTATTAGTGATGAGATTAATCAATTTAAGAGTAGTTCGAGTACTCCACCCGACTACGATATATCTCAAAATGTTCCAATTGATTTGGAGAATATCGAAGAGAAATAAGTACTCGAGACTAAAACGTCAAAAAAATTCTTGAATTGTTGGCAACGTATGATACGTAAAAAAGTTGGTGTTCAAAATGGAGTTGATATTTGTAAAGCATGTTACAAACATTGTGACAAAGAATTTAGTTGGAAGCCCGGTTCAAATACAATGTATTTGAATAAGCACGTATTAAGAAGTTGCAAAGCAAAATCAGTAGATCTCAACCCGAAATAGACCGAACTAGCGTTTGGCGGTTCTGGTTCTACTATTTCCACCTTTGTATATTCACATGAAAGATTTCTTGAAAGAATGACTGGATACATGGCTGCAGCAGAAATGCCTCTAACGATAATAGACTCAATACACTTCACCTGGCTCGTTCAAATACTATAAAAATAATATAACAAAAGAAAACAAATTGTTATTGAAAGTTTAAAAACTTTTAATAGTGTTATATCGTTCACCTCTGATTTAGATTCCACATAAAATGATTAATGCATTCAGATGTATAGAATATATTTATAATGTCACTAATATGGTATACAAGAAATTGTTTGAAGTTTTACTTTTAACAATGCTAGTGTGAACAAAGTTGTTATCCAAAAAATTAGTAATAATCTTAATCATGCATTTGGAAGTTTATTTTTCATCAACGTTGTGTACATCACATTATCAATTTGATTGTAAAAGATGAATTAGAACATATAAGATTGTCTTAAAACAAACAATAAATTTTATTACCGTGTCACGAAAAAGAAAGCAAGTATTTAAGAGTTTGTGTGCAGAGTATGACTTACAAGAGAAATCATTTGCCACCGATGTAACACATAATTGGAATTCTACATATCTTATGTTGTAATCGTGTGAAAATTATGATAAAATTAGTTTACTATATTATAATGATAGACATACATATAGACTCGAACATAATTTAGAAGATTGAAAATGGTCTATTGCATTTTGTGTAAAGAAAATCTTAAAACCTTTTTTCAATGCCACAAAAGAATGTGGTGGTGTTTATTACTCTATATCTTCACTCGTTTTACAATACTTTTTCTACATTTCACAAATATTTCATAAATATATGAATTTTTCAATTTTTGTTGATATAGTATGCTCTATAGAGTTAGAATTTCATAAATATTAGGAAGAGTTTTCCTCTCTTTTTTTTTTGTAGCTTCGGCGATGGACCATCAAGTTAATTTAACTAGTATAAAGGGGATTTTAAATTTCATGAATTGATCACATGTGTATATAGAATCTATATTATGTGAAATGTATAACTATTATACTGAAAAATGAGGTCACAACATTCTACTTCCCAAAGTTCATTTTCACGAAATATTTCAACAAATTCAGATAATATATGGAATTATTTAAACACCAATACAAGTTTTCCCTCATTTAGTTTTTGTTCATCAATATCTAGAGCGATAAATGTCGGTGATACAAATTTTGAAATTTCTTCTGAGTTAGTTAGGTATTGTGCGTGGACGTTCGTAATGTATTACAACCAAAAGAATTGTAGAAATTTAGTCTTCTATCATGGTGGAGGTGTAACGAAAGACAATATCCAATTGTATAAAAAATTGCATGTGATCTACTAACACTTCCGGTTTCTTCGGTAGCATCGAAGGCTGCATTTATTTTAGGTGGTCGAGCTTTATCAGACAAATAATCAAAATTAAAAGAAGATATATTAGATGTCTTAATATGCTTAAGGACTAAGAATGTATGAAATTACGTATTCAAGAACAAGCTGACAGTATAATAGGCGAAGAGTTGCAGTAGATCCAATGATAGAATATTGTTAATTTTTAAATTGACCAATTTAAAAAAATACGTAATTTTTAAATTTGTTTCAAGAAAAATTGTAAACGAAATATTTTATTCATGTACAATTTTAACTCCATCTAAGTTGATTGTAGCCGATCCCAAACTCAAAAAAAGAGGTGGGTTATAACTTTTATTTAATTTATAATTCGTATAAATTGCACAAATTTTAAATTATTTAAAAAAATCTTCGATTTGTCACGAATTTAAAAAAAGAAAAAAACTGCAAATCGACTTAGCTCTGCTCAGCTCGGCTCGGTTAGGCTCGATAAAGCCCTTGCTGAAAGCTCGAGTCGAACCTAATTTTTTAGCTAAGCAAAAGCTCGGATCGATTCCGGCCAAAAAAATCCGAACTATTTTTACTCGAGTCGAGCCCAAGTTTCGAGTTTCAGCTCGTTGACATCCCTTCTTAAAAGTATGTTAATGAAGTGTTTATAAATCATTTAAATTATAAATAAATTAGATATGAATGCTGAAAGGAATAGAATAGCTGCCCTTCATCTTTCTGAATAGAGACTCGACTCGACTCGCATCGTTCCAACAACCGACGGGAGGGCTTGCAGGTCAGGACGTCTAGCAGAATGCTTGGCATGTAGAGGGTGAACGCATATCTTCTTACCTTTTATTCTATTTATTTTGTACAATCAGTCAAATCACTCGACTACATAAATATATTGAAAGAGGCCCTTAGCCTGAAAGCCGGCCCTCTAGCTCTTGCATCTCCTTAGTTTATTATCTTAGCTAGGGCCATCATAAAATCGAGTATCTTTCTCTTACAATGTGTGTGTGTGTTTTTTTTCCCTTACTGTTGATATGAAATTAATTTACAATTCATTTTGACCAAACAAATTCATGAAATCAATGGAGTATCCACTCACAGAACAACTGCCTTCTTAAATTAGGTATAATGTTTGGTAAGGATGTATTAATTTATGGTCAATGCTCAGCTAATTTTATTCCACTGCTTGTGGGATATCTACTATTCCTGCACAAGAGATTATTTGTTAATTACGTTATTTCTATGTGGAGAAAGCAAAGTATGTATAATATAAGACAAAAAATGGAACAAATGAACCTCTTTGCTTTTAGTCTAGATCCAAAATTCACATGCATTTTCAAAGATTTACTATTTTTATTTTTTAAATTCGGTTCAAGACATGCCGCCCTTCAAATTATCGTAGATTTTTTGAAAAACCAGAAGAGAAATAATTATTATTTAGCACCACTTGTGTTTAATACTAATTTATAAGCAATGAGTTTTATTGAAATGCATTTTGATTTATTAGACATCGAAGCAATAGATATTACTGCATCCTAAATTGATGCTAAGTACGAATTGTTCTACATAATATAATTTTTTGGTATTCTATACTCCAAATCAATTTTAAAATATTATTTATTATACATAAAATACTATTTTCCCCAACCTTCAGTTGAAAATTAAAATCTATATTTTAATTTAAATCAAAGTTAACAATTAATTTTAACAACATATTTTATTTCGTGAGTCTCATAACTTTTCAATAACACATTTTATCAATTTTTATCAAAATTTACTAAAATCTGATTTCAATACTGACTAGGGCTTTATAAATATGGAGTTCCTCGTAAATGTCATAATCTCATAATGTCTTAGCTACAATTAAGGCACCGTGGCTACCACTCAAAAGACGTTACCCATAACGTACAAAGACAAAATATGTTTCATTGTCTTCGTGGAGGAAATTCTTAGATTACAAAACCCTAATTCAAGAAAAAATAGTTGGGCCCCAACCAAGAATATTCTTGACATCATAAGCATATACATCATTGAATTATTAGTTTAATCTTTAATTAATTATTGGCAATGTGGAAGAAGTCGTGATTTCATTGGTGAAGCATATTCCCAATTTGTTTATATTATCTTCTAGAAGAGAAGAATATTCTGATTCCTCGATAAGTTGTTGTCCAAGATACCATAGCAATAACAAATTATTTTTTTTGGTAGTTCATACTTCATAGATCGAATAATTGAATACGCGGGCTTTAAAAAAAGGAAAATGATGGTGTGGTTTACCCCTTCACAAAAGTGCGGGCCCCATGTATTTTCAAAAATGTCGGCTCGTGGTTGTATGTGCTAACTATCATGTTCATACTTTGTAGACTTACTGGTTAATGTACAA